ACCGCAAAGAGCTATTTCCACTCACAATAGTGAAATTAAATTGCGTTTGCCAGCGCTTGATAAAGTCCTAAAAAACGCAGACCTTCTCTTGATGGGTTCCAGGCGAAATGAGATTGCAAATGAGGGACATTAGCAGGTTCCGTGCGAGCATTGGCGTTCTTTTATTATCGGTTGTGTTGTGATAGTAGTTCAAACTTTCCAATTATCGAGAACCTTTGGCCACTCTTGGCTTTGTGCAGACGAAAGCAAATATATGTGCTGTTAAGAGAGTGGTGCTGAACGGCTTCTCTAAAGTGTTAATTTTATCGGTATTAAGAATTTATGTCTAGAGTACTTTGGCTATTGCTCAGGCAGGTGATAATGAACAAGTTTCTTACCAGTATGTTTAGTTAAAACTCTTAATGGGCTCTGTCTCAGCTGAAGGAGGAAATGTGTCTCACTGATGGTCTGATTGACTAAAATTAAATTAAAAGACTATTTAGTCCTTGCAATGAGTGAGGGAGCATGTGATTGGCTGCGACAGATTGATCAGACCATCGAAACTACACAGAATTAGCTTTCGCTATTCTTTATTTTATCGACAGTGAAGAGCTGACAGGAAACAATAAGGAAAAGTGGGAGGAAGGTGTAACCCAGATCATTAATCTAGGTCACTAATATTTAATTGAACTGTTATCTAATTATTATTGCTATAATATTTAGAAAGGGAAGATAAAAATGCAGAAAGATCACTCTGCAAGTAAAAAGGAAAAAAAAAAGTTCATGAATGATTCTTAATTGGGGAGGTGAAAGGTTAGCTCCGCCCCTTTTGGGTGGTAGCGCACGAGCAGACAGAACGAGAGCGAACTTGAAAGAGAGAAGACTCAGTAGCGCAAATTCGATGAAAATACAGTTTAATAATCCAGCAATAGATTATTAACAAATTAAGACCCAGATTAGTGAGCTATTAACTCTTAAAGGGGTCATATGATGCAATTTCATTTTTTCCTTTCTCTTTGGAGTATTACAAGCTCTTGCGACGCGTTTCAAAAAGGCGGGGCATAGAGGAGAAACAATAATGTACAGTATGTGGAAAATAATGCGTTTTTTTTTACTTTAAACCGCATAAACACATTTCATTACACCAAATACACAAAATAATGTTCTTTTTAGCAGCATCGTATGACCCCTTTAAAAGCTCACGCTTTGAGGAAGACACGACAAGAAACAGCACTGAAAGAGACACAACAAGAAGCTGATGAAATAGAGCCTAATCAGTATTTATTCGGAGGAATACTTAATTTATTTATTTTTTCTGATACATTTCTCCTTGAATTGTGATCCTGAATCCTGTCCCTGCTGAATACTCGTATTCCGGTTTGGACTGGCGAGCCATCCCATCATTTCGTGCCTGGAAACGGAGAAAAAGAGTGAAATTTGTCGATCTGGTAGGACCACACTATATTTGTTTAGAGTTTTTCCAAGTTTTGCTGCCTGGATTTTCCCTGGATAAAACAATTTTTTTCCTTTCTTCGTGGACTGAATTTTTCCACTTTTTGATGAACATTGCTATATTTTTTTAACTTTTTTTTTTAAACTGAACTGGACATTGAGACTTTTGCCTTTGCATCTGAAACTTAACTGGACATTGACACTTTGAATTCAAAACTGAAACTTGAAATTGAGAATTTGATCTTGAATCTAAAAGTCTCATTTTGAAACTGAGACACTGATTTTGAGTATTTGAAATTTAATTCCAGAAACTTATTTGGAAACTGAATCTGAACTTTGTTTTTTTTTACTTTTCTTTACATTTTGATATGCTTTTGTTACTTTGGGGTTTTACTGTTCAATTTATTTGTTGTTGTAATTGTGTTTTGGTTATTTTTGATCTAATTGCAATTTCAAAAGGGCAATAATCCAAGTGAAAGGATAATCAATCAAAACAATATACTATTTTTCCAGTAACTTGACTATTCTTTTGAACTGTGTTATTAATTGACTGACCCTTGTAACTGGACATTGACACTTTGAATTCAAAACTGAAACTTGAAATTGAGAATTTGATCTTGAATCTAAAAGTCTCATTTTGAAACTGAGACACTGATTTTGAGTATTTGAAATTTAATTCCAGAAACTTATTTGGAAACTGAATCTGAACTTTGTTTTTTTTTACTTTTCTTTACATTTTGATATGCTTTTGTTACTTTGGGGTTTTACTGTTCAATTTATTTGTTGTTGTAATTGTGTTTTGTTATTTTTTATCTAATTGCAATTTCAAAAGGGCAGTAATCCAAGTGAAAGGATAATCAATCAAAACAATAAACTATTTTTCCAGCAACTGACTATTCTTTGAACTGTGTTATTAATTGACTGACCCTTGAAATAGGTAATACTCATACTTTTTTGCTTACCTTTTGCTCTAGTGAGTCGACACTTGTCTTTTGATTTCTGGTCCAAGCAATCCCACGTAGTTACCGCTGCACCAAAGTTGTGGTCACATAGTAACTTAGTAATTGTGAACAAGCGCTACTCAGTGCGTGTTACAAAAGGATTTAGGGAGTGACTCAAGCCAGACTGTGTTCATTACTCAGATTCCCACCTCATGTTGGAGCCTGTGCATTACTTGCCAGGCCTCACCTCCGACCTGTTCAAAGGTTTAATGTGAATGGATTGATGTGCAGGCATTCCACAGTCACTGAAGCCTGGAAATAAAAGAAAATGTTCAAATTGTGCATTCCAGGGCTGGAAAAATCATGGAAATAAATTAGATCTTAAAAAGTCATAAAAATGTATACAGTGAATGTACATTTTTTTCTACATAAAGTGCTAGTTTACCCAAAAATTACAATTATGTCATCATTTACACACCCTTATATCTTTCCAAACCTGTATGCATTTCTTTCTTCTGGGAAACACAGAACATATTTTGAAGAATGTTGGAAGCAAACGTTTTTTGTTCCCTTTGACTTCCATTGTATTTTTTTTTTCCATAAAATGGAAGTCACTGGGAACCAAAACTGTTTTGTTGCCAACATTCTTCAATATATGTTTTTTGTGGTCACTTCGTTTGATGAAATTACACAGGAAAAATCCTGTAATTTCAAAAGGAATCCATGTGATCAGGAATTGCACATGAATATATGTTTTTTGTGGTCACTTCGTTTGATGAAATTACACAGGAAAAATCCTGTAATTTCAAAAGGAATCCACGTGATCAGGAATTGCACAGGATGAAACATTTCCCCATGCAGATTTTGCATCGAATTAAGTGTTTCACACACTGATTAACAGCATGCTGCTTGGTTTGCCAGCACTTTATAAAGTTTTTTTTTTTCAGAATTGAGATATAAACTCTCAAGTGGGAGTTATGAAGTCAGAATTGCGAGATATAAACTCACAATTCTTAAAAATGAAGTCAGAATTGCGAGATAAAAACGTACAATTCTGACTTTTTTGTCACAAATGCAAGTTTATATCTTGCAATTCTGATTTTTTTTTTCTCAGAATTGTGAGATATAAACTCACAATTGCGAGTTTTAAAGTCTGATTCTTAGGAGGGAAAAGACTGACATGTTCTCAGAATTGCTAGTTTATATCTCACAATTCTGACTTCACTCGCAATTGTGTGTTATAAAGTCAGAATTCTGACTTTATTTTTCTGAATTGCGAGTTTATATCACGCAATACTGACTTTATAACTCGCAACTGCAAGTTTATATC